ATTTTAGCTGATATTATCATTGCTTACTAAAGATTTTAGCTGATATTGTCATTGCTTACTAAAGATTTTAGCTGATGTTATCATTGCTTACTAAAGACTTTAGCTGATATTATCATTGCTTACTAAAGATTTTAGCTGATATTATAATTGCTTACTAAAGATTTTAGCTGATATTATCATTGCTTACTAAAGATTTTAGCTGATATTATCATTGCTTACTAAAGATTTTAGCTGTGGGTCTTTTAAAAATGAACATTTTCACATGGTGGTATTTGGGCTTTTGAATTATCCAAATAGTTCTTCCACATTTAGTAATCAAAAACTAAACCAAACTAAAAAAAAAAAATATCAAAAACAGATCAGTAAAAAAAGTGCTTTAAGTGCGCCTTAAGAGATTTGCCCCTGTAAGGTTTAACATTTTTCTCCATTATTTTTCATCTTGCAGCTTCTCGGAAATCTGGATGCTGCTAACATTTTCTGCATCCAACAGATTTATTGGAACATGATGGATGTGTTGTGAAATGTCCTCAGACATCATCAACAGCGAAGTCTAAAGTTTAAGATGTGCATTGTGTAAGCATCATTACTGTCGCAGTTAGAAGCAGTTTTGTCCTCTAAATTCTCCTTTGTGTTAAGAAAATAGAAAAACTGATCAAACTGAAAACTGCAGCTGCTTTTGAGGCAGAACTTAACCAACAGCCACCACAACTTAATCTTCATGTTTTGTTTCAAATGTATGCAACACTTGTGCTGAAACATCTAACAAATATCGACTTTAGATGCTGCTACTTATTAAACTTAAAAAAAAAAAAAAAACAGGAATTAAGAAAGTAATATTTTTTCCAGAAATTACCCCATTTTTTTTCTGTGGCTGATTTATCATCAGTTCTGTTTATTTTCATCTGGACAGAGTTTGAGAAACACTTCCCTGCTGTTGTTTTGTCCTTCGTGTTGGAACAAAACACAAAGGACAAAAATGCCAAATGTTAAAAGTCAAGCATTTGTTCTTGGACATTTTTACTAGAGTATGTATCATTTAAAATAAATTGTCTAAAATTAGAGGGTAATGTCGAGTAAAGACAAATACAATTTGCCTTACATCTTAAAACCTTGGGTAGTAATGTTTGGCATATTGATAAATGTGTTCATAACACAAAAAATGACAAATGAATACTTTAAAAAAGTGCAGTGTCTTCAGAGTTCACCTTGTGTTAGTTTATTTATCAGCTGTCCTGCCAAAACTACCAGTTCAGTGAGAGGACTAACTGCTGGTAATTTTACTCAGGGATGCCTTCAAATGTTTAATCCTGAAAAGCCAAATAAATAAATAAATGTGCATTATGAGTCTCAGTTTCCCCTTCATGTAAATCCATGAGTTCAGTTCAGGTTACATGTTTCAGCATCAGAGTGAAAACGAAGAAAAGTTCAAGCCAGGACAACTTTTGGTGCCGAACAGTGAACCAGACTAAAACTTAACATCACTATTGTCTCAGATAAGAAAATCCAAAAACAGACAAAACACTTACCATGTCATATTGCATCAGAGTGTTGGCGTGACGAACAACAACTCAGAAAATGTTGGGAAGAAGCAGCTTCTGAAAGAATGAATGAATGTTTGTCTCATGTTTAGTTCTGCTGCTCAAAGTTGTAAATGAGATGTGCAGTGCTAAAGGATGGACTCCATATTGGAAAATGTCATGTAACCCTGTTGATGGGCAGTAATAGTTGTTAATTACTTTTTCCCATGGTCTTAACATGGCCCACCTGCTTCCAGCTTGATTCTTAGGACCTGCTCCACCAAGGCTCAAATCAAACTGAACTGGGTTTGACTCCAGTTTTGAATGGACATAAGTCAATCATGAGAACATCTCCTTCACAAGAAGCAAAGCCACCACTGTTAAAAACTTGCATCTGCAGCATTTACTTAAGTATTTATGTTTAAAAATGTAGATCTATCAAAATGGCAAATGCAAACCAACCCCTGAGACTTTGAGGAGAGGCAGATGTTTTTGTGCTCGTTGGCTGATGACAGAATTCAGATTTTTCAGTTTGTGACTTTATTTCATGTATTTCCCCATCGCTGTGTTACGTAGATTACTGTAAAGTTTAGGGCGGCCGCTCTATGACGATCCACGCATAGACAGCACTCAAGTAATAGTGACAACCACCGGCACATACTGTAAGGACACGTGTAGAGTTGAAGCCAGTCGTGGTGAGACTGGACGAAGGAAAAATGCTGTAAGGCTGATGTTTTCCACCTTGGCATTGGGACAACACACACCTGCATGCTACAGACTAATAAAATGCTAAAACCAGCGTTCATAGAGGTGGTCACACTTTCTGATTATAATTTAATTAAGATTTGAGTTAATTAAAGGTTAATTAAGTGTTTTCAGTCAGCAGCACATGGCTGTTACTAAAATGCTATGGAAGCCTCTTCAATGGACTTAGTATTCAACAAACTGCTTTCAATTTTGGTTTTATTTTGTTTAATAAATACAAAGTAATTACATAATGGAATAAGTTGTATTTTTGCACTTTGTTCATTTTATCTTTATTTATACAGGTAGTCTCTCTGAGTCACAAGGGCTCATTTTCAAGAGAACCCTGTTTCTGGGAGCAGGTGGTGGGGGTTAAAGGCCTTGCCCAAGGACCCAGGGTGAGGCAAATGACGGTGGAGGCAGGTGTGGGTGCTTCACCCATCCCACCCACATTTTGATGTTGTTGATCAGGGGAGTCGAACCGGCGACCTTCCAATCACAGGCCCACCTTCTTTAACCTCTTCACCACCACACCACCAATTTAGACTTTTGTTGGATGTAACTGGGACCCTGTGTACACAGTTTCATTCCTCCACATGTACCACATATGGTGCGAATGACAATAAATAAACCTTGACCTTGAGATTAAATTTGAGAACCTGCAAAGATCAACATATGTTTTAACATGTCCTGATACGTAAAACCCTGCTGGAAGAGAGTGAACTTTCTTTTTCCCTTGACTTTAGTAGAATTATTTCTAAATGCCCGATTTTGAAGCTTTAAAGCAAAAATAAATAAATAAATAAATGTTTTGAGCTCACTTTCGGAATGAAGGGGGTCTGTAAATATTTCTTTAATTAATTTTTTCAAGGGAATTTATGACCTAATATGGAAATGTTTGGAGAGTTGACACTGCACTTTCGAAAATGTTTTTCATCCAGTTTAAAATCCCATCTAACTCCCTCACCGAAACGGATGATGCCTAAATAAGGCAACGGAAAATTTCACAATCAGCACAACCTTGTTTTTATGATCTGAGAAGATTTGTCATTCATCCAGAGTCCAAAGCTGCTCCTTCACTGCCAAACACAATTACCAACAAATACGACTTGTTCAGATTATGTCTTGGCTCAGTGCGTAAATGCCAGATGGAAAAATACAGACAAAGCAAAGTGTTGTGAATGTGTGTTAAAATAAAATAAGGTAAGAAAAGCAGAGAACAATTTTTATTTTCATCTTTTTATTTCCAAATGCTTCAAAAAAGTGACATTTCAAAATCATTTTCTCATATTTGATTGTATTTTTTTTTTTTGCCTAATTGTCATAACTATCTTACATTTATTGCCCCATGTGAATTTTTTTTTTTTTGGCGCTGTAGACAATCTTTTAACTTTTTTTGATGTCCTGTAAAACATTATTGATGGCATTATCACCAAGTTTTAACAATCGTTCTGTAAACGGCTCTGCAGTTTTCTCAGATAGCATTGAGCAAGAACAGGCTTCCTAAATAAACAGCAGTCCTAAATCTCTTTTTGGCACTTATTTGAACACTGATACTATCTAAACGTTGGCCCAATACGATGTGCGCATATTCATGTGTGAACAAGCAGCAGGTTGAAGGTTTTTTTTTTTCATTTCATTGCGAAATAAAAACCCACGAAGGATTGCATGAGAACAGAGAAGGTGCATCAAAACACTGGCAGAACAGGCAAAACACATGAAGGTGATGATAATAGGCAGAGCAGGACTCCTGAATTAGAAACCATGGGAAACCATGAAGGCAGATGAAAATTAAAGAGATATTTTAATGGGAAAAGGTGAGCTTTTAAAGTTTGAGTGCACATTCAGGAGGAAATAACTTCTGATGAATTCCGAAATACATATTCCATGTACAATGCATTATCCTACAATGTCAGCATTTTTTTTTTTTTACAAAAAATGCTTGAAGTCATTTCAAAATCTGTTTCTGAGCACTATGAAGAGTCACAGGTTTCATTGGTCTTCCACTTTTGCAGGCAAAAAAACAAAAAAACAAAAAAGGAAATATTCACCACGCTAAAGAAAACTCTTGGTAACAAATATTTTTAAAGCTTTTTAATAAATTAATCTTTTTTCAGGCATTAAAAACAGAACATCAATTAGAAACCAGTCTTTGTTACCAAGATTTTACCTTGAAACAAAAAAAACCCCATCAAGTTTAAAATCATTGTTTGTGAAGTATTTCAAACAGCTCTTGTATTTTAAATTCAAAATAATGCTTTCAAAATGGCTCGTTTTACATTTTATTAATCCTTGATTTGATTTATTTGCAAGTACTTTTCTCTCATGTTCTCATTGTGTCCCTGATTAGGATTACCTGTGGTCCTGGATTACCTCAGAGGGGTTTAGGTTTTAACTAAGAGGGATTGGAAGATGCTGATGGCCGTTCAGAGATGATGTTCTGTGTCAGTAAGCTTGCTGTAATCAGAACAGCAAGTTATTACTTAAGAGACCTCATCCTTCACGTGTGGGACATTTTGATCTACGCGTGACATACTGATATATAAAAGAGTCCTAAGTGACTAATAATAAGAAGTCCTTTACAATTCATTTCTGTTACAATATGACACAGACAGTGGTGGGTACGTGTTTGCCAACAGATGCTTCGGACCACTTGTTCAGGCTCTCGTAGTCCTCAGGGTGAAGTGATGAATATCCTACAGCCTCCACTAACCTCCTCTTCTGGGCCCGATGGAGGAGGATCCTGTAGGTCCCTGTCAATGGGCTTCTACAGTCTAAACTGAGATTATTCTGTAAATGGGATTTTGAAATGCCTAAAGCAGACATGCAGTTCTTCACTTCTTGTTCTTCTACACTGAGAGACTGGTTGATCTGAGCAAAGTGGACTGGAGATGAAGGTAAACAGACATATGGTTGAGGGTACTCAATCCCCTTCAGCCAAGCACTGTTTGTAATCTGAGAGATCAAGGTGCGGTCAACAGGCACAATCCGTAGCATTCCCTTAATGACGAGCTGACACGGGTCAGGCACATAAGCAGGGATGCTGTAAGCCCCCTGCAAGATGCAGCGCTTCAGCCTCCCCAGGTTTTCTCCGAAGAAGGGTAAAGTCGCCGTCACCATAAAGTACAAAAGAATTCCTAAAGCCCAGATGTCTGAGTACTGTCCGAGGTAACCGCTCTGTTTAAAAAGTTCAGGAGCAGCGTAAGGTGGAGAGCCACAAAAACTTGTGAGAAGCTCATTTGGGCCACAACTGGTGCTGAAGCCGAAGTCTCCTACTTTGATGCAGTAACTCGTGGTGAAGAAGATGTTCTCCGCTTTAAGGTCTCTGTGGACAATGTTACAGTCGTGCTGGGAAAAAAGAAGCAAAAAGAATAGTTTTAAATAAGACTTTAAAGATTTTACACAAAAGCCTTTGTGTTATAAACCTCACCCAATAAAAACTCCCTACAGTAAACTGAGCCTTGACAAGTTAAAGTCTTTGCTGTGAACACAAAATCAGAACTAATTTATCTTTTTGGGTTTGATTTTTAATGACATCTGGTGGCAAACTTGCAGACTTCAACTTATAAAACATTCTCCACAACACCCATCTTTTAATATGGGAATCAACTGTGGCCACTGTATTTTTGGGGTGCAACACATCAGATGTTGTTTTATGGTTTGCTCCATCAACCCAGCACAGTTACTTACACAAGATAAGATAAGATAAGATAAGATAAGATAAGATAAGATAAGATGAGATAGAACTTTATTGATACCACAGGAAATTGTTGTGCCAGAGTTTCAGTACAAAGAACATACACAAGGAATCACACTAAAATATAATAACAGAGAATATAAAAATACCAGCAATTAAGATCTAAACAGGTCAGGTGTAGACATGTGTGAAATGTTTTAATGTGAAAACATTAAAGTGTTTATTGTGGTGCAGAATTAATTTTATTGTCCTATGTGCAGAAAGGGGGAGGAGTTGAAAAGTTATGATAGCCACAGGAAGGAAGGACTTCCTGTGGCGTTCTGTGGAGCACCTCGGTGGTCTCGGTGGCACATCAGCAGTTTCTGTGTAAAGATCCAGTTCATGCAGTCCATGTGAGTTGGCCACAAAGTGTAGCAAAGGTGCACCATGCCACATGGCTCTAACCTTGTAATTCAGAGCCCTATAAAAAGAGCTCATCTCTTTATAGGGTTCTGTTGTAATTGAAGCCAAAGTGATGCTGTGTACAGATGTGCATTAGAAAGATTGCCACAACTGCCATGTCATAAGTAACAAAACGTTGCTCTACTCTTGTCCTTGGTCTGAAAATGTAAATATGGTTAGCTTGGCTTAGATGTTACAATTACTTATTGCATTTCTTCAGTTTCAATGAATTTCCAAACTGAGAGCACACTGATACAGGTGTCTGTAGCAGGCACAAGATGCTCAATTATCGAAGACAGAACAACTGGACAAAACACCAAGCTTTTTGGGACTCTGATGAGTGAAACCAAGTCTTTGCATGTTATTTCTTTAAGCACTTGTATGACTCTGATTTCAAAACATATTAGAAAGTGCAAGCAAAGCATCACAGAATTAAATTGATTGCTGAACTGATGTGAAAGCTGGCTCACCTGCATGAACGTAGTGTTTTTAGCGACACTTAGAGGCAAATTTGCAGATTTCAAAACTGGACACATATCCCAAAACTCCTCCATCAATCTTATTATGGCTAAGAATAGAGATGTTAACTGTTCAATGTGAACTTTGAAATTGTGTAGCCCTGTTAGATAATTCATCCTCTGCCTCTGAATATTTTTGTCTCAAACTTCCTTATCTCTTGCAATGCAAACAGTGACAATTACTGACTAAAGTTTTTTGGTCACAACTTGAAAGGCAATAAATACCCCAACAATTCATGCCACATGTGGCAGACACTCTGTGTAGTAAAAAAGCAGACTGAATGTGTCTCACCATGTGTTTAACAGCAGAGATGATTTGCGCAAAAACCAGCTTGGCCTCCAGGTCGTTCAGCTTCCCTCTAGTAGTGATTCGAGAGAACAGGTCTCCACCGCTTCCATACTCCATAATCAGATGCAGCCTTCTGCTGGTCTCGATCACCTCGTAAAGGCGCACTATGTTGGGGTGGCTCAACTTCTCCATGCAGCTGATCTCTGAGGAGGCAAAAGGCGGATTCTTCCTATCCTGACGCAGCTTGTCCACGACTTTGACAGCGACTCTCTCTGTGACAGCAGATGAGTGACAAATTTAAAGATGTGATGTGAGAAACAGCAGAAATGAGGACTAATATGCACAAAAAATGGTGGAATGGTTTCCACAAGAACATGAGAACACTTGTTAGTTTTGGAAGGTAATTTGATTAAAGCATTGTCATTCTTTAAACATGTGATTTTAACCGTTAACTAAAGCGTCTGTGTGAACCAACTTAGACAAATATGGGACGTAAGTAAATAAATTATAGAGTAAAACCACATAATCAAAGCATTTTTATACCTTTTGTCAAGGAATGGATCCCCAGTTTTACTGTTGAGAAGTTACCACGGCCGATTTCTCCACGCAGCTCATAAAAGCAAATCCTTCGGCCCAGCATCAGGTCGTTTTTTGTCTTCTCGTTGTGGGCCATGTCATAGACTATTCTTTCAAATGGGGTCTGCTTCATTCTTTCTGCTTCGGTCAGCTGAGGGACGGCAGCAGAAGTGAGGGCTGACACTGATTTTTCCACATTTGGTGAGTTGTCTTCAGTTTTTCTGCTTAGTTTCTGCTTTGGCCACAGCCTTGGTTTGCTGCCTTGAAAATCAAGAAAAGAAATAAAAACGTCTGTCAGCCATTTTTGACTCTGATGTGTAATTTGTGCTCAGACAGAATTAGTAAAGCTGTTCCAGGACATCGATAATGAGATTAACCTCAGTGTTACATGCTCTGACTGAACTAAAACGCCCTTTTTTTTTATGTCATCCTTTGAACTAATTTATCTATTTTTAGTTTATATTTGAGATGTCTGCAGGTTTTGCAGTTTAAAATATAAAACGGCTTTATTTATTTATTTAAATTATAAAGAAAATTAGGCTAATTTGACTTTTGAAAAACTTAGATAAATGTTTAAACACCATCTAATCTATCAGGAGAAGCTTTCCTTTTATTTGACACATACATTGTTAGCTTTGCAACTAGATTATTCAGATTTAAAGTGAAAATTAATGTAGAATATTTACACTTTGCTACATTACATCCTACACAGCTGTTGTAAATTTGAATATTACACAATATTACAACTTATTGGCTTTTCCAGGATCTACTCTGGGAACTGACTTTTATTTGAACGCAATTATTGAATTCAGTGCAGTTTTTGATTAAAAACTGATTTCACAGTTTCTTGACTTTCATTCCAACTCTGCACAAGGCTTCTTTTGTTTTAACAGGAAGTTGCTGATTGAAGAGGTGCTAAAACAAGAGCAGATGTTCCCTTGTCACATGTAATCATTTAAAAATGGACTATATGCACAGTATTCGAGATGAGCAACACTACACAATACATTAGCTGTTTATGTTTCAGGTATCAGCTATAGTGATACTGTAACAACTCCTGCAGCTGGCTAAATTTAGCTGATGGTTGGCAAACTTCCAAGGACAGTGAAGATTACTTGCTTCTTTTAGACAGAATATTTGTGGGTCACTTCCAAAGGTAGAAAGTTATTTTTGGGGATGTCCACGTAAGCTACTTAAACTGGCAGAACAATAAAAAAAGTTCGGGATCTAATTGAACAAGAAGGGTTGTTAAAGGCACAAGACGAGCCAAAGTTATGTTAAAACAATATATACTGAGTGTATTTTTCTCAGCTGTTGCAATTTTCCATTACTGTACTTGATATCTTGCATTAAAAAAAATATAGACATAATTTACTTTTCAGGTCCAATTATCAAACATATAAGTGCAATTACAGTGTCATTTTTTAAATTCTTGAATAAGATTTAGCATGATGTTCTTAACTGCTTCTGCAGCATAGTAAAGATTTGTACATATTACAAGTTATTCATTGATTATGGCTGTTAAATGATGAGATAAACTATTGTTTTTTGTCCAAGTAGTCAAAATAAGTTTATTAATCAAAAAATTTAAACATTCCTACAATAAACAAAAAGCTACAAACATATCACAATATTTGACCTAAAAGATGCTAAAACAGAAACAGTGTGCAGATGCATTCAAAATTTACCTGTAAATGTAAATGGGATGGTTTTACCTGGGAGCTGTGGGTCCTTCATGACTGTCCCCGAGGCTTTTACACCTGACTGTGACCAAACATGTGAGCTTCAGAGGATTAAATCACTCACAGCAATCCTATTAATACAGTGTATTAGCAGACTGCTCATCATGTCCTCTGGCACAAACTGACCTCATAAAAATGCTGAAAACTTATGTTCAAAGACTAAAGCAATTATGCACATGAACATGTTTACCATCTGTTGTTACAAACATTTGAACAGCTAATAAAACAGCTTGAATAAATTTTGAGTAAAAAAAAAAAAAAATCCTTAAATAAAAGTCCCTGAAAGTAGTTACTCAAAACACAGCTGCTCAGTTTTCATTGTCAGTGAATTAACTCGCATATTTAAATTAGTCATAAAATCAGCTATCGAGCACAAGCCAGTGTATCTATTGTGCCAGTCCCAAGCCCCGGTAAATGGTGAGGGTTGTGTCAGGAAGTGTATCCGATGTAAAACACTTTGCTAAAACTATAATGTAATGTATATAAAGTAATAATGTAATCTAAACAACATCATAAATGCTTATGATCAGTCGGGGACCAGGTTAACAATGATCGCCACTGGTGAAGTTGACAAACAGGGTGCCAGAGGAAATTGTGCTACTGTTTGTCGAAGACCACGAGGAGGGAAACGTGTCAGGAGACAGAGGGAGAAGAGGAAAGAAGAATGTAGAACTGAGGGTGGTAACTCTGAATGTGGGGACAATGACAGGCAAAGGAAGAGAGTTGGTTGACATGATGCAGAGAAGGAAGGTAGATATTTTATGTGTCCAAGAGACCAAGTGGAAGGGCAGTTTTAAAGCAGGGTTTAAACTGTTTTACCATGGTGTGGATAGAAAGAAAAATGAAGTAGAGGTGGTCCTGAAGGAGGAGCTGGCAAAGATAGTAGAGGTGAAAAGAGTGTCAGAAAGGATGATGTGCATGAAGGTAGAAGTAGAAGATCTGATACTAAATGTTGTCAGTGGTTATGCTCCACAGGTTCAATGTGATGTGGAGGAGGAATAGAAATATTGGAAAGATCTGGATGAAGTGATAGAGATCATTCCCAAGGAGGAGAGAGTGGTGATCGGAGTAGACCAGAGTGGACATGTTGGTGAAGGAAACAGAGGGTATAAGGAAGTGTTGGTTTGATTTCAACGAAAGAAACCAGGAAGGACAGATGGGGGTGGATTTTGCCAAGAAAATGTAAATGGCTGTAGTCAACACTTATTTCCAAAAGAGGGAGGAAAATAGAGTGACCTATAAGAGTGGATGTATAATACACAGGTCGACTACATTCTGTGTAGAAGAGGAAACCTGGGGGACTGTAAGGTTGAGGCAGGGGAGAGCATTGCCAGACAGCATCAGATGGTTGTGTGTAGAACGACTGTTGTTGTGAAGAAGAGAAAAAGAGTAAAATCAGAGAAGAAGACCAAATGGTAGAAGAAGGAAGCATGTTTTGAGAATTTCAGAGAGGAGCTGTTAAAGGCTCTGGGTGGTAAGAAAGAGCTTCCAAATTACTGACAGTAATTAGAAATACAGGTAGGAAGGTACTTGGTGTGTCATCTGGACAGTGGAGCTGCTGTCAGTGTGTTTGCTGCACACTGTCACACTGTTGTTTGCTGAATCATTAATTATATCAACTTAGAGACTAAGGGAGAAATTCTCACAAGGGGGTCACAAATGGCTTGTTGATTGAGGCATGTTTCAGGGCAGATTTTAAGCCATTTTTTATGACTAACAACAAGCTCAAATACAGGTATCTCATAGCAGGTAATGTGAATGCTATTTTATGAACCATTCATCTTCTATCATTTTTGCATAAACAGTAATGATCTGTGTTGCAGAACAGACTGTGTTAAGGCAGAGTAATTATTTGAGAGAAAATCTGTGTAAAAATCACTGAAATCGTTTTCACTTGAACTACTATTTTTTTACATCACTATTTTTTCAGATTGTTACATTGCCCAGTTATGAATAGTTCCAATTGTTTGTATTAAAGATCGTCAAAACTTGACCTGCTCTTTGAATACATGGGTGGAAAAGCTAAAAATCAAAATCACAATGAAACTTTTAGCTTCTTGATCAAATAATTTTAAAAAAAGACCTGTTTTGGCTGAAAAACACCTGTAGGTGGCACCAATTAAGTCACTACCGTGAGTGAATCTTTCAGTGTTTCTGGAAACACAACTTAAAATGATTGCAAAGTTACTCCATGACTGACATTAAAAACAATAACAGATACAAAACCAAAAAGGTTAATCATCTTGTCATCTGGACAAGTATGCATTTGTCAATTTAAATTGTTTATTATCTTCAGCTTATTTTGCAGCTAGTGGACCAATTGTGAGCTGATCTTGTTCATTTCTTTCAAATGTAAATAAAAGTTACTTTATTTTTATTTTATTTATTTTCTAGTATTGATGATGCGGCTCCTCAGAAAACCCGTGTGGCTACTGTCTTTGACTGACATTAATCTTAGCCAATGACAAAGCCAGAATTTACAACCAACCAATCACTGACGAGCATCTGTTGGCGGGGTCTGAGCTTACTGACCAATGAGCGCAGGCCGCTCCACCAACAAACCGGAAGCACATGCTAACGCGCTGCTACTAATGTTGTCATGTGTGATATGTAACACCCAAGAGGTTTGAGTATTATTTTTTTTAAGGCTATACTATCTTTTGTGAATTATCAGAAAATGTCAGTAGCGGTAGAAACGCCTGTAGCCTCCACGGAGCACGACTCTGAGCGGTGTGGGAGCGAGGAGGACAACCGCGGAGTCGAGTCGGAGGAGCGGAGTCAGCAGCCGACAGGCCCCGCCGCAGCAGCCTCCGTGTCCCACAACCGGCTGTCCAAACTCCCGCTGACCCGCATCAAAGCTCTGATGAAGACGGACCCAGACGTGTCCCTGGCCAGCCAGGAGTCTGTGTTCATCATCGCTAAAGCCACGGTAAAATTATTTTTAAAAATCCCTTAGAAATCATCCAAACAGCCACTGCTGCTCGCGTGCAGGTGACTGATGACTTGTCACAACTTATTTCAGTAGTTTGGTTTCATGACATTATTTTCATTCAAGCTTGGAATAAGCCACACCAGTTGTGACCAGTAACACTTGAAACATCATCTACTGGGTTGAAATAAAATTCTGAAGCCAAACCATCAGCATCTGTTATTAGTTGTTCATGTTTTGTCTCTTTCCTTATTGACTTGCATCCAGGAGTTGTTTGTTGAGATGATTGCCAAAGATGCTCTGGTGTACGTCCAGCAAGGAAAAAGAAAAACCTTGCAAAGAAAAGACTTGGGTAGGTCCTAGAATGTTAACACAATCATTATATTACTCTTAAATATAATTGTATTATATTGGTTTTAGATGCTATTGAATTATATATTATTAATAGATGTTCAGTGCTTTTTGCAAATGCAGAATTGCTGCTTCACAGTGGGATACTTGTGTTGAAGCTGATTTAAAAGTCAAGGTTATTAGAGAGTGTGCAGAGATGTGGAATAAATAAGAATAAGATGTATTTTTAACAGGTCAGTGACATGACTGCATATAAATATGCTGTTTATTGTTTTAGAAAACAGAAAAAAATTGCTACTGTTTTTTTTTAGATATTTAAGAAAAATGTTTAATAGTAAATACGTTAATTTTGAATATTGTAGCTTATGTAAATAATGTGCATATGTTGTTGAAATAGTCATATGGGGATTTGACATTTAATATCAGGAGGTTTTGGTATAAAGATCTGTATAGATATTGTATGGTCTCATATTTTACGTTGTGCTTTGATATCTTTGTAAGCAGGACTCTCGTGCGTTAGATTTATGTGGAGCATTGGTAAAAATAAAACAATAAAAAGTTTAATGCTGCCATTTTTTGATTATTTTTTTCCTCCACAGACAATGCAATAGAGGCCATAGATGAGTTTGCATTTCTTGAAGGTAAGCCTTTTAGAGAAACTAAATACAATCTAGTGTAAAATCTTCCATTCAGATCACTTCAAATATATATTTAGCTCCTAATCTTTTCCATTTCAATGTGACTAATATTCAGTTCAAGGTTGAATTCTCCTCATGTTGCACACAAAATGTTGGTGCTTCTGCAGATGTGCAAACATTTGGTAGATGTCAATGAACACCTTTCGCATGCTGTCATGTTGCAGTAATTTGTTTTCTCTTCTCTGCAGGCACGCTTGATTAAAGGCTTTTTACAAGATCGCATCTGCAATCATCTAAGAGGCGTTTCATTACAGAGTCACTGAAACTTCCTGTTTTTCTTACACCGAACTCACAGATCAGACGTTCATAAATGTTTTTCTACAACTGGTCTGTAGGATTTCTCCAATTTGTTTATGATTATATGTACATGGTTTTGTAAATATTTGTTGTACAATGAAATACATTTTTGTGTGAAGCAACTTTTTTTTTTTTTTTACTAGATTTGAATGCTTTATTTTTGTCTGGATGTTACAACATCAATTTATATTCACTTGTAGGACAAAATTATTTAAGTGAACAATGTGTGTTTTTACTTGACACACCAGTGGCTCTACAGATCAGTAACCCCCCATGTCTGAGCAGCAGCATCGCTCAGCAGCCCCTTCTTTTTTACTTTATTCTCTCTTAACCTGTGAAAAAACCTTGCCACCTCTGTTCTTAACGGCAGTGCCAGGGTTTGTTCAGGTTTGTGCTCGCATCACAATATTTTAACTGGATTTGATCTCACTTTATAGCACATTGCTAAATTTTCACTCTTTTTTTTTTTTTTTCCCGTGTTGAGTTTCAGGACCCAGTTTAGGTCAAACTTCAGCTGTCAACCAGATGGTCTCATGTTTAACTCATGTTTGTACGAAAACCTCCCAACTGAATCAAAGTCTGCAAAGTGTCCAAGTCCTGCAGCCTGTGCTGATACATAGTTTGGTTTTGCCAATCATGAAGCTGCGTATTAAAGCCTAACATCTACACTTTGGTTTAATCTGGTAAAAGGAGTTTGTTTGACAACAGTTCTGCTTTAATGAGAGGGAACTTTTTAAACCTATGTTGTGCTGCCACATCAGCAGACTGACAAATGTTGTTTTTTTTAACCGAAGCTTCTGGCTACTATTCCCCCTTTAATTCAAACAGAAACAATAAAGATGGAATTAGTTTTTCACATACTGTGTGTGCATTTTTTTTTTTAAATTAAACTAACACTAATATGATAAGAGTTGTTAATGATCTGAACTTATATTTATTTTATTTTGAGAAGGGAGAGCCAGATTTGTCTAGATCAGGTGTTCTCAAACTTTTTGGGTTCAGTGACCCCTTAAAGGGGAGAAAAAGTTTCAGGGACCCCCTCATAACCCTCATGCTTATTAAATAACTTTCTTCATTTACCTTTAATGCAATGGAAATATTTGTATAACATGAATACAGTGCCTTGCGGAAGTATTTGGCCCCCTTGAACTTTTCAACCTTTTGCCACATTTCAGGCTTCAAACATAAAGATATAAAATTTTTATTTTTTTTGTGAAGAGTCAACAACAAGTGGGACACAATCGTGAAGTGGAATGAAATTTATTGGATGTGTCAAACTTTTTTAACAAATAAAAAACTGAAAAGTGGGGCGTGCAATATTATTCGACCCCTTTTCTTTCAGTGCAACAAACTCACTCCAGAAGTTCAGTGAGGATCTATGAATGATCCAATGTTGTCCCAAATGAATGATGATGATAAATAGAATCCACCTGTGTGTAATCAAGTCTCCGTATAAATGCACCTGCTCTGTGATAGTCTCAGGGTTCTGTTCAAAGCGCAGAGAGCATCATGAAGACCAAGGAACACACCAGGCAGGTCCGAGATACTGTTGTGGAGAAGTTTAAAGCTGGATTTGGATACAAAAAGATTTCCCCAGCTTTAAACATCCCAAGGAGCACTGTGCAAGCAATCATTTTGAAATGGAAGGAGTATCAGACCACTGCAAATCTACCAAGACCCGGCCGTCCCTCTAAACTTTCATCTCGAACAAGGAGAAGACTGATCAGAGATGCAGCCAAGAGGCCCATGATCACTCTGGATGAACTGCAGAGATCTACAGCTGAGGTGGGAGAGTCTGTCCATAGGACAACAATCAGTCATACACTGCACAAATCTGGCCTTTATAGAAGTGTGGCAAGAAGAAAGCCATTTCTCAAAGATCTCCATAAAAAGTTTTGTTTAAAGTTTGCCACAAGCACCTGGGAGGCACACCAAACATGTGGAAGAAGGTGCTCTGGTCACATGAAACCAAAATCGAACTGTTCGGCCACAATGCAAAACGATATGTTTGGCGTAAAAGCAACACAGCTCATCACCCTGAACGCAGCATCCCCACTGTCAAACATGGCGGTGGCAGCATCATGGTTTGGGTCTGATTTTCATCAGCAGGGACAGGGAAGATGGTCAGAATTGATGGGAAGATGGATGGGGCCAAATACAGGACCATTCTGGAAGAAAACCTGTTTGAGTCTGCAAGAGACCTGAGACTGGGACAGAGATTTATCTTCCAACAAGACAATGATCCAAAACATGAAGCCAAATCTACAATGGAATGGTTCACAAATAAACATATCCAGGTGTTGGAATGGCCAAGTCAAAGTCCAGACCTGAATCCAATCGAGAATCTGTGGAAAGAGCTGAAGACGGCTGTTCACAAACGCTCTCCATCCAACCTCACTGAGCTCGAGCTGTTTTGCAGGAAGAATGGGCAAGAATGTTCAGTGTCTCCATGTGTAAAACTGATAGAGACAAACCCCAAGAGACTTGCAGCTGCAACTGCAGCAAAAGGCGGCGCTACAAAGTATTAACGCAAGGGGGCTGAATAATATTGCACACCCTCTTCAGTTTTTTATTTGTTAAAAAAGTTTGACACATCCAATAAATTTCATTCCACTTCACGATTGTGTCCCACTTGTTGTTGATTCTTCACAAAAAATTTAAATTTTATATCTTTATGTTTGAAGCCTGAAATGTGGCAAAAGGTTGAAAAGTTCAAGGGGGCCAAATACTTTCACAAGATACTGTACTTAAGACCTGTTCTTTAATAGTGGTAATACAATTTTTATACTTTTAAACATGGGGTGTTTTTTTTTTTATTCAAGACATGATTAACAAAATTTTTAACTTCAACTTCCAAAAGTTACAGTTCTGAGAAAATTAACAGGATCAAAAACCACTTTAAAACTTTACACTTAATGAACATTGCCACTCTTCTATCGCCACTTCTTCAAATTATTACAGAAAACGACATAAAACTGAACAGAATCATAGCAGCAGTAGTCATACCAAGCAACAGGGCTTCATTTGTAAACCGATCGATGAGAACCACTGAGATGAGTGAAACCCTTAAAATTAAAAGTTCTCACTTTCTTTTCTTCATAGTTCGTCATTTGTTTAAGTTTATTTTGTTGCTCAGACTGGTTATACTCTTAAATATCTATTTTTTTTAAAGGTATAAAATATGGTTTTAATTATTTTTTAGACCGGCACACTGTGTTCTGCAAGAGCATGTTGAAACGGAGGGGTTCAGATTTCTCATTCAACATCGTGACTGAGAAAATCCTCTTCCTGCAGGAATGTATCAGCGTCTCCCTGGACCTGAGGTGTGTGTTCTTCCTGGAAGCCTTTGTTAAACACATCCAGAGTCTCTTGTTTCAGCGTCTGGGCTCAGTCAAAGACTCTAAATTTTTTCTAGATAGGATTTTTAAAATAAATGCTGGTGTGTTTTTTAAGCTGATTTTCAGGGTTTAGTGTTTCGGGGGATAACTGAGCAGACCTGTGAGAAGCATACGGTTGTTTATTTCCATGGGAGCACCGGTCAACTCCCTGCAGAGGAATGCTTGACTGGCTCAGGGGAAAACAGTACTCTTTTCTAATAAAATATAATAACTTGTGAAAAGCCTGGACATTTGTTTTATTTCTACAGTCAGCACAGACATTTTATTAGGGAAATCTCGTGAAAATCTTTGTGGGATTTCCAACAAAAAGCATGAACTGTATAGATTTTATATTCAATAAACTTGCATCATTATTAAGAGTTGCATACATGATCCATGTCCAAAATATAAACTTAAGAAACCCACTTGAAGGCAATCAAAGATTATTCATGTCTAAGAGTGTATTTAGCTTGAACACCAAGCTCAATAATCCAGGTTAAAATCCAACAAAGTTCAGTCAGGTCATCTGGACGCATTTCTTTTCTTTTTTTTTTTTTTTTTTGCTGAGACATTTCATCCTTCATCCAAAGGACTTCTTCAATCTTAGGAGACAAGAAACAAACTGATTTCCACAAACAGCATACTCCATAGGGGGAAAAAACAGTTTGATGGTGCTAAGATGGCCTTCAGGACCTGCCCTCTCCCCCATCAACTCCTCTGAGACAGTCATGCCAAAGTGGTTCAAAACACCAAAGTTCATGCTCAATAATCCAGGTATAAAATCCAACAATGTTTAGTCAGGTCATCTGGACGGTTTCTTTTGTTGCTGAGTCATTTCGTCCTTCATTCATTTTGAACCACTTTGGCATGACTGTCTCAGAAGAGTTGACGGGGGAGAGGGCGGGTTCTGGAGGCCATCTTAGCGCCAGCAAACTGGAAACTGTTTTTTTTTTCCCCACTATGGAGTGTGCTGTTTATGAAAATCAGTTTGTTTGGTGTCTCCTCAGATTCAAGAAGTTCTTTGGATGAAGGACAAAACGTCTCAGCAAAAAAATAATCTGTCCAGATAATAATAATGTGTTATGTGTTGTCATCATAGAATAGTGAAATTGGCTCTCTGCATTTCACCCATCCACCCCCAGGTGGAGCAGTGTGCAGCTATTGAAAGTGAACGAGGAGCAGTTGGGGATAAGGTGTCCTGCTCAGAGACACCACGACATGTGCAATGGCTGATGACCTGACTGAACATTGTTGGATTTAACTTGAACATTTTCCAAAACCTAACCACACAGTTTTCTTGTCTAAACTTATCAGAAACATTTTTCTCCCTTATGGAAAGAAAAAAAATCATAATCTAAATATGTCAGTGTTGTGATCAAATACTCTCAACTCGTAGCTTTTCTGAACCATAAATAAATAAATAAAATAACTATTGTGTCAATGCCTGTCCCATATTAATCTTACATCTGCATAAATATTATTTTACCCACAACTAGAGCATTCTAAACAGGCTCACCTGATCATTATGTATATGTCGGAATGTGCAATATGTGTTTTTATTGAATTATGTGTTTTTATTGAATTGTGTGATTTTATTGAATTGTGTGATTTTATTGAATTGTGTGATTTTATTAATAGGTGTTTTATATTTTTACA